AATTATGTTCAAATAGTGCAACGACAATAGAATTCAGTTGGCTACAGTGCATTTCACAACATTGCTGTTAAGGTTAAAAACAGCCAGCCAGTACCTAAACTAGTTCGCTTGTGTAGGGCATTAAGACACACATTCTTTCCCCAAAACCAAAAGAGAAATGACCCTCTCTTTCTCCATTCCCCTCCCCCCCCCCCAACTTAGGCAAACACTGGTTTAGGTGGATTCTGCAATTGCCTGCTACAAGAGTTGAACAATTTTATAGCCAGACCACCCAGCTTAAACACAAACCTCCCTATGGCATTTCCTGCTCTTTTCCTTTCCACAATCCTTTGCTTTAAACACCAAATAAAATACGGGAAGTGCAAGTAAGTGAGAAGATCAATGCGTTCTTCTTCTCTTGTATAAAAATCTGCATTCTTCTCCTTGACTCTGCTCTTATTTCCCAGAATCCACCTACATTTGTAAATCCTGATAGTATCTCTAGTTTGAAGACTGCGAGCAACCAGTTTCTGTTATGCCTTTGAACACGCACACAGATGCACTCAGATGCACATGCTGATGATGAGCTTATTGAGAGATGCTATCAGTTGTAAACAGATTTCTCAACCACAAATAGCACAAGACTCTGAGGGCCAGGGATGACTGCTCATCAGACAGTCCCAGCAGCTTTGTCCTTGTTCAATAACCCACTGTGGGAGAAAGTTCTAAGGAAGGAGAAAGCAAGACTGCAGGTTTTCACAGCATTTGCAGTGGAGTTGGAAGGGTTGCAAAGCAGTGGTGAGAAACTATCGATCTGTTGCAGAATGAAGCTGTTACCATTGCTGGAACGGGGTGGGGGATAGGCAATGGGTATCATCATGCTCACAGCTGTGAGGAATAAGGGCACACTATCTCCGTCAACTTCAGATCATTTGTACTCCCAACACCGTCAGATCTCTCTAAATAGTACTTTGCAATCTCTCTTCAGATTTTGTAAAGCACGGTCCACAAACAAAACTCCACAAACAGATGTGGTAAGTTCAGGGCAAATCCAGCTCATTATTTTGCACTATTATCATTATAAGCATAGTGAGATAGTGCCTTGATACTACCAAACAGTCTGGAGTTGCTGAGCAACCAGTTTCCACTACGCCTTTAAACACCCACTAGTTATGAGGTGACTACAGGCCAGTAAGCAGGGTTCAGAGTTGCAAGATGCCTCAAACTGCAGGGATGATTACACCTCTGCAGCAGCTACTGCATCTATCTACAGTAGAAAATATAATGCAGTAATGACTGGAGTTCCCCAAGATGCAGAGTCTTCAACACAGACCCAGAGATCTGCAGCTACTGTACTGCCTTTTCTCATGCCTTGCAGCCAAGGCTCAAGGCACGTTACCAGAAATTAGTCCCTCATATTTGCAGAGCCCAAGTAGGTGAGAGGCTTCAGAAACAGGGTAGATGACAGCTTGCAGGCTTAGCACAAAGGCAGGGCATCTTGGACTCAAACTTGTGAATTGCTTAAAAAGTTTGTCCACACCCAAGTCTTCTGCGACAGTGTCCCAATGAGACAGAGGTAGGCAGAGAGAGCAGCTTGACATTATCAGGATGAGAAAGATGCCCAGGCTGCAAAGCTGGCTAGTGCTACTGGCTGCAATGCTTGACAAGTTTCTGGGTGTGTTTTTCCCCCTACAGCTGCTCTGGTTCATGCTGTTGCAAACAGTGCATATGTTGATGTCACATTGGGGTTCGCAACTCAAGCTAGACCTTCAAGTCATTGGTGCTCTTCGGATGGAGCTTTCTTTAACAGGATCCTGTGAAGTGCCTGATCACTTGTTTCCATTTTGATTTGTATTGGTTTTTAGGATCAAGATCTAGTTCTGCAAAATCACATTTGAAGTCATGATGGAATTGGTTCAGGGCCAGGAAATTCCTCTTGGAGGAGTCTATTGCTCAAACCACTTTAACTGGTCAGATATCGATTTTGTCCAGAGTTGAGATTGAAAGTCCCAGAAGAAGTCCAAAGTGGCACTCAAGGGATCCTCTAACCTGCTGGCACAAACTGCCTGTGATTCCCTTGAGACATCAGTTTACAGACTGACACTCTTATCCTTGAAGGTATGAGAGATTTAGGATTTGCAAACAGGCATTTTTCCTGTGTATGACATTTTCCTAATGTCCGTCTATCGCTGTCTGTGACTACCTTATTCACAAGTATTGTAGAAAGTTTGCTGTTTACTGGGAGGATTGATCCGTGTGAGCAGACCACTCAGGGTCAAAAGAAAGTTCTCTAACTTCTCTTTCAAATTAACAGGCAATACATTGAAACTATAGTTAGGTCTACAGCTAGAGCTCAGAGCTGGAGGCTATGAAAAGAAGCAGCTTTGCTCTGAAACATCTGAAAGGAAGCAAGGCATAGCAGGTACACTCTGCCCTCTGGTTCATCAGCAAGGCAGAGATGAGACAATGCGTGTACGCCCCGCAGGTCATCATTAGCCAAAAATGTGCTGAATTTGAAAGGGCTACTGACACTTGATGATGTGACCTTCTAAATTCTTTACTGCCTTTAATTATCATCACTTCTTTTCTACCTTAGCCCTAACTCTAAGGAATTAATTATGAAAAGTTCCTGTATTTCGCATCAGTTTCCCCCTATCTAACCAGCTTATCCTCCACTCCTCTAGCACTTCATCACTTTCTCATACTCCCTAGACTGAACATTTCAAGAGGTGAGAGAAAATAAAAGGCATGACTGTCATGAACAAGATGGAACCATTCCCTCCCTCAAAATAACCCCTCCTCTGGGAACTTGATTGAGGTGTAGAAATTCTGCTTTCCTTCTGCAGAAGACAGGCTGTTCTTCCCCAGGTGTCAAGGAAGTGGGGAAGGCATTCAAATAACCAAGGCAAGCAGGGGCTAGAAAGTGGGAAAACAGCTGGCAAAATTCAAATGTCAGGTTGCAATTCGAAGTATGCCAGATGCTACCCTGTATACTTTTCATAAAGTACTTTATTAATTGCATCTGACATCATTCAAACTGAACTCTCTTCCTTGCACTTTCCTCTCTCTCCTAACCAACTCCTTTCCAACCTCCCTGCCTCTCCCTCAGTTTTTAAATACTATAAGAAATGAACACAGATCTCATCTGTGACTTTTTGCCTGGTTCCTTCAACAGACTGTTCTTGCATAGGTTGATACTCACAGGCTATCTACTACCCTTTAGATAACTTCTACTTCCATGAGATCACCAATAGTTGGCTGGAAAATAGGAGAGAAAGTGAGGCCAAGATCCTTATTTCTCACTAAATTAGTCTTTTACACTTTACAATGGTTTTTTTTTTTTTTAAATGAAAACAAAAAATATCTTTCAACAAAAAATTAATGACCAAAGCCAGGGACAGGTTGATGAAAGGATGTCTAAAGCATGCAGAGATCTGGACTAAAAGGTCTGACCAAACTACCTAATTATTTGTGTAGGTGTACTGATTACCATTGACTAAATTATGTCACCAAAGAGAATGATATCAGAAAAGAGAGGAGGGGTCAATTTTATGGAATCTATCAGTCCTGTTTTAAGTAACAGCTCATCCTTGTACCCCAAAAGTGTGTTCCTTATCTTTGTCTGCTCAGAATCAGTGATTGTGGATACTTACCTAGCCTAGCGTAAATTCTCAATACCAATGAAGAAAACTAAGCCTTGAAAAGTATACATACTTGTGTCAGTCCAAGTCTGGGTCTCAGATATTGAAGATACTTTGTTGACATACAAAATCCTTTTCAGGAAACTGTTAACATTACACTTGCCTGGAAAGGAAGTTTTATTTTGGCTTCTCCAAATGCTGGAGTTCAGTTTGTGGTACTCTAACTTTGACCACCCTCCCCTCATACCAGCTCCAATGATGACATCCCAGAAAAGTTATCCTGTGTAACAGCAATTAATGTGCTTGCATTTTTGCCTGGCTTTTTCATTTCTGTTATGTAGGCCAACATATTCTAAGTAAAGACATTTAAATCACAGGAAAAATTCACATTGTGTGTCATGGCTTAAAAAAACCCCAAACTTATTAAAGAGCAGTAACTTAGAGCCATGACCTTTTTTACTCCAAAATGAAAAAGAATCCTGTTTTAGTCGGTTCTGACTGATAAGCTGGGAAAAGTGTCTGCTGCTGCTCAGATTGCAAGTTTTCTGCAATATTTCTAGAAAATTTATGAGTTTTCAGTTTTTTTCTGTTTTTCTGCTATTTATGCTTCTGTTTTGGGCATATTCCACTAGACTAACTATTGGTAAAGCATAAACATCTACCTCAGTATTAAGCTGCTATGGAGAATATTAAGAAGTTTCCAGTACACCCACAGGAAAAAAATCTGCTTCAGCGTGGACTGGTACAACCTCAATTGACAAAGGTTGCATATGAGTGCATACATAAACACACACACAAACAACACACGAGTGAGAATGAACTTCAAGCAGCAGCTTGGGAAAAAAACTCCTGAAATGACCAATCATGAATTCAAAATACAGCCAGCTTTCAATACTAGCACAACTTCTAACGTGATAGTTTCCCATGTATTTTATCATTTGTCAAGTTTCCAGATCTTCTCATTCAAACATATACCTAATACCGTTAATTTGTTACAGCATTTTTTAATTCTTTTTAGAAGTGCAGCATATGTACGTCTTCTAATTTTTTTATACCATACATATCTCATTCTAAACTTAGAGGTTTCCATAGTTGTCATTAAAAAGCACGTAGACAAAATATTTTATGGTATCTATAATAAATGCAAAGAAATCAATACAAACAAAACTTGGCTTAGCAAACTGTACATACATAAATATGTTCTTTGTTTTTCAACTTGACATTCAACATTTTTCCTCATAAAACCTTTTACGATCTTATTTATTACATCCATTTTTTTAAACCTTAAAAAAGTGCTTCTGAGATTTACACCTTGTGCATCCAAAGCAAAAGTTAGAACACCATGCCCGAAACAGAAACCACGGGGAATAATACATTACCATACAAGATCCTTTAAAACTGTATGTTACAAATGCTCTAAAATTTCTTTAGCATTAGTTATTTTATATACTGTAGATACTGAGAGGGTATTTAACAAAGACTGGCTAATGGCTCATTTAGAGCAGCACACAGGAAAGGATCTACAGTATCAAGTCCTTGGCTATGCATAGTACAGGGCAACGACCTGGATATAAAGTGGCTAAAAGATCCAGAATGCTGGACAGAAGGATATTTCCCTCACACATGTCACATCCTCCTTAGTACCCAGGATGCGAGTATTGAAACAATGCTACTCAGGTAATACGTTGTGCAGTTTGATACTGATATACTGACACGTTACTAGGTGAGTGCCAGCAGAGAATGATATGGACACAGCGGTGGCTACAGCAGGTAGGTAAAGCTGCCACACTGAATTGTGTCACTCTCTAAAACCATCCTGCCTTCCAGCTAGCACTCCAGCAAGGTTACCCACTGTCTCACGGGTCTCCTTCATAATGGAGGTGGACCATTCATGTATTTTAGCATGGGGTGGAAAGAGCGGGCAAAGTTGTTGGCCATAGTACAGCTGTAGTCCTCCTCGGTCATTGGCACCAGGCAAGCCAGCCCGATCAGGAGCAGCAAGAGGAGCTGAAGTGGCAGAGCAGCTCTGAGGACTCTGAGGAAGAAAGATGGGCGCCGCCACGCTGGCCCGGCCTCAGAAGGGGAGGAACCTGAGCCACCTCTTGTGGACCTGAGAAAAGAGGATGGACAGGTGAATACACTAAAACATTACTGCAGCAGAGGTTGACCTTGGGCACTCAGCCTTCCCTGAAGGCTGGTTTACAACTTGTACAGACTTTGACTGACAACTGCAGAGGTGTTTTTCACTGAACATGCTATTTCCCTAACACTCTTAAGAGACCCCCTGTTTCTAGACTGAGTAGGAAAACACCAAACGATCACAATAGAATGGGCTTTATGACCTCACAACCCCTTTGTCAATTATGGGGAAGACTCTCCACTTAAAGCATTGTGCTCTTGCGAAGGGGAAAATAAAAGATGTGCCATACCTGTCGCATGTGTTCAATGCACACTGTCTAAAAAGGAAGCCTCCTCATTTAAAATGGAAGTTGCATTTGGTTTGCAGAAGTTTCTACATTCATTTCTGTATATAGTATCCACAAGTGTATCATGCATTAAGATTCGGTTACATCAATCTTCAATTAATTAATACACAAATATGCAGGCAACGGGGACTCATTTTCTACAAAATACATTGTATTTTGAATCTTGCACTGAATCAGCAGTTAAAATCTATTTGCTCAGCTGACTTGACACCATCATCTTCCAAGTGATTTTCTCCCTTGTGTCTATGGATCTGACCTGAAATGGCACATATCTACTGCATGTCTATGAGAGAGGAGAGACCCAATGCAAACATTTCCAAAGGGACACTGCAAATTAAGCACAAAAGTCCAATCTGTTTTTTAATAAAGAAAAAAGACATAGATTTCACATGTTCCTTTTTGACTGAAACTGTCGAAGTTCTAATATGTGGATGACAGGTTTTGAGATTAAATGCATGACTGAAAAGAGTCATTATGCAAGTTAAAATCTGATGGTCTCAGTGTGCTAATTAAATGGCATGGGAAAGTATTGTATTTTATCACTAGCCAAAAACAGAAGAACTTAGAGCCTTCAAATAATTTGCTTCAAGAACTCTTCCATTAAGACATTAGGTCATGAATTTTGTCTTAGACATGTTGCTATAAAACATCCACGTGGCTGCTATGATTATGAAGCCCCAGAAAATCTACCGTTTGCTAAGGTTTAACAGATAAAAATGCTCATAAGGACGAATTTACTCTCAACTTGAAGGTGTGGGAGATCAGGCTTGTTGGTTGAGGTCAAATGCTCCCCAGTAAAGCAAGTAGGGGGTGATGGTTCCGTAGTGTCTCTCCTTGCCTCCCCCTTGTCCTTTTGATCCTATCTCCCAGATAAATCTGAATCTGTGTTGGAAAGCATGCAAAAAAGCAAAGTATGATCTTCAAAACTATGCCAGGCTTGGCAAGGGTATCCTTCCCACATGTTCAGAAAAAAATTCTTTCTATGCTTTAGATTATTTTTATTATGTCGTTCATATATGTGTACCATCCCACTATGAAGACTTCAAGAAAGCCATACAAGTTTGGTAAAGTTTAGATGACCAACAGATACATAAACACTCAAGTATGCTAAATGATTAACTTGACCTAAATATCCCAGGAAGGAATGATGACTGAAACATCAGATTGCATGTTGTTTGAATCCCCGTTATTGTAGCCCGGATGGAAAGCTGCTTATTGTATAATGTAAGATCATGTATTATAAAGAACATATTGAAAGGATATGGCACATTTAACAGCATCAGAGCATTCCATATTAAAGTTCAATTAGATCGGGACTCATACTGTCGGAGAATGCCAAGACAGAAAACTAATGGACTGAGGTAGGAACAAAGGGAACAAGGAGTGCTTAATTACCTTCCAAGCATTTGATGGCACAGTCTACCTATTTACAAGGCTCTCATTGTACAAGTGTTGTTAATCCCAATCAGAAAAGGCCATATTTCTGCAGCTGGTAACTCCTGTTTGATAATTAGCAAAGTCTGAATTTTCTTCACTGACTCAGAGTTACTCTGGGGCAACACTGGGTATCAGAAGGGGAATTTCCAAAAAGCGGGATCAAAAGACAGCAGGCAAAGTTAGCATCTAATTTTTCTTTTCTTTTCCTACGGGTTTGATAGCACAATCCAGCACTTCTTGCTTTATGTTTTACCAAAAAAGAGTGTAAGCTGCATGGCTGATCTTGACAAGGAACATAAACTTTCAAAAATTAAAACAGTTCTTGTCAAAGTGTTTCAAAACACTTTCTGCAGTGAAGTAGGGTGTTGAAGAACAGTTTCTAATACTGCATGGAAACAATTAAACAAGCAAATAATGAAACATTATGAAAACATCTTCAGAGGGGGTGTTCTAAAAAGTTCAAGTGCTGTACTGCCTGTGTCTATTGCAGGTATGCCTCTGTAATCTACATAATTGGCTGAAAAATGGCATAGCTCAGCTTAGAGTGTTTAATGGATTTGTTACGGAGAGAGGGTTAAAAATATACATAGTTAATAAAAAAGGCTCACTATTCATAAGGGCCAGAACTCCTATTTACTCCAGCAGGAGAAGGGAGAAGTACTGTATACCATTTTGGAGAAAAATGTAATTTCTTTTTCTTGAGCTTGCATCTTTAGCTGTCTCTCTTTTGACTGCTCCACCATTTGTTACACTGGCCCCTGTTTGAGGAGGGAAGGAAGTAAGGTCATCTTCGACTTGCTCCATACACAATTCTTACTACCTAGGTAAAAGGAGAAGGCACAGCTGCAGACCTGGCCAACAGTAAGCTTCTTCATGTCCAGAAATCTCATAAATTAACCTAAGAAGTGCAAGCAATAGTTACCCTTACTTTGGGAGTTTGTAATATCACTGAAATTGGAACTATTTCCTAAGCATTTCAAGAGAGGAGAAGCTAATTTACCAGGCTATAGATCGGACGGGCAAAGTGAACTTTAATTTCAGCTCAGACGAATACCTTCTTTTAAAGATGACTGATTATTTTTTTTTTCCCCCCCAGGAAAATATGGCTGAAGTAATCTATCTGTATTGCGGTAAACATCTGAAAGAGTATAACAGAAGAATTTATCATTCAAGCAAAGTTCATAGGAATAAATAAAGTGAGTTTAATGGGGAAGTGAGTAATGGTATGCAGACAACAGGCTTACATTGAAAGAGGCACTGCTGGGCGAGCAGGATGTTATTACTGGAGTTAATCAAGGATGAGCCTTGATTTAATATCTTTATGAAAAGACTGTCACAAAATATAAGTACAGCAAATTTCATCTATATGATGACAGAAGTTGGAAGTCTTTGCAAATACAACATAGGGTTGGCTTCTTGCATAGAAAAAAGCGGGTGAATCCAATAGGTTTAAGAAGTAGCTTAAGGAGTTTAAGATTATAGTACATAAGGTAGCAATAAAAACTTGTGCTATAAACTTGGAAGTTCACACTCTGAAGATAATGAAGAAAATCTAGAGCTGTTTGACACAGAATAGCCAAAATCAATAATGTGGCTTGTAAATAGCTGTGAAAAGGAACAAAATAAATTTAAAAATATATTTCAGTTCAAGACTTCCAGAAGAGAAAAGGGGTTGTTTTAATGATGTTCTATAAGGCACTAGTCAGATCTCACCTGGAGCAGTTTGTATCATTTTGGTTAACATACTTCTGAAAGATGAATTCAAATTTCCACAAGCTCAAAAGAGTCAAAAAAAAAAAAAAAAAAAAGGAGTATTTCTCCTAGGAAGGAAATAAAGAGCTGAGCTTACCAATAGAAAACCTGAGAGATACAAAAACTACTCTCTATAAGCAGACAGAAAGATAATCAGAGAAATTAAATTTGATAATGACCTTCTAATAGATTTTTTGTTCCCACTAATTCTATTTTGCTGGAGTTATGATGGAGCAGGTATGATGCTCTGCCCACAAGAGCAGGCAATGACTCTTGTTGGTGGCCTATGAGACTCTTTAGGAGCGACCTTGTTTGGCTGTGTTCTGACTTTGATTCTCTCCCTAGCTCTCAGCATATCACCCCAACCTCAGATTTGGCTTACCCTGTCAAGAAAATGAATACGTCCCTTTCAAAGGCAGTTAAATATGAAGTTTAAGTAACAAGCTCCAAGCGAGAGTGAGGGACATAACTGGGAGAACCACCATGGCAAGCCAAGCCCAAACCTCGCGTTTGAGCTACTGCCTGGCAATGACTGCCATTTCATGGCTAAAGGCACGGAGAGTGCTGTGGCCCGGTCTGCTCCAGGAACAGCAAGTGACCTTTAAATATCCACTAGTCATTTGGGGAGGTTTGGGGAGAGCAGGGAACCGAGGTTGGCACTGTGGCACCAAGACTTGAATAGAGCTGCTCAAGAGAGACAATGTAAACACCCCGGAGCAAACTGTACCTCTATTCTAATCTTTTTAACATTTTAATCACTTCAAAAAAATCCACAGGCACAGATCCAGGTGTGCATTTATGACAGCTCTGTTAAACTGATGAAGAAAGAGGAGTTGCTTCTTGGATTTGCTTTTCCCGCTTAGCACACGATTACTAATATCTCTTGAATGAGATCTAGTTCTAACGTCTAGTTCAAGCTTGTACCTTGCTTACATCATACTATATATGCTTGCCTTTGTCTTCCCCATTACCACAGCAAAAAGTGACATCACACTTGTTATACACAAAACGGCCCCTCTAATTTTTAAATGAACTTTCCTTCACAACCTCCTATGTGATAAACCTTTTAAAACTGATTTTAGTTCTCCTGTACGCTAAACTCTATCACAGTTTGCTGATCCAGTGCAAGATCAAACACAAAGTACTCTGATCAGAGGCATGTCAAAATATTAAAGAACACAGTGACAGCTTGTACCGCTTTATCAGTTAAAACCACATTATACATCAACCACAACCTGTCTGGCTTGCGCATTTGATTAAGTTTCCTATTCAGCAGTGACTCATTCGTATTCCATGCTTGTCTGAATGACAAATTGAACATTGTGTTGTACTGCTACAAGATGTGTTAATAAACAGTGCTGGAAAGACTTGATCTGAAAGGTGCCGCACCAATGCCGCTGCCAGAATAGAGGCTGATCTCAAAGCTGCAAAGCACTGCTAGCTGCTTGTTGAGCCAGCGGCTCGCACCTACCACCAGAAACTTTGGCAGAAGTGGTCTGACTATACAAGAGAGCGGTAGAGCGCACACAATATGTTTCTTGAGTACAACGTTGCTAGTGCAAGCATGCTGATCTCCCAAAGACATCCTCCGTTCCTTCTAGCTGTTAATGGCTGCAGAGTAAAGCCCCACTCCTCCCTTTTCCCACTCTCTACGAGAAACAAAACGCCAAGCTTCAGAGCAGACCGGAGCTGGAAAAATTAATTCTCTTTCTCCATCAGACAGAAAGGTGGAGTGTACTTATGTCACATATTTTCTATGTGGTTTCCTTATGTTTCAAAGAGAATAAAAAAGCCCTAAAAATAAGGCAGCTTCTTAGTGCCAGTGGAAGCAGTGAAAGATACTCTACCTCTTCTATCTGCTATGGTAGGTGGTTTTGCAACTATGGCACTTTACTCGCAGTCACTAACCACACATATAAAGTAATTCTTTAAGAAGTGTTTATGTAAATATCTACATGGTAAGTAGTTCTATTCTTTAGTTTGTTTATATTTGAGAATAATTTTGCTGAATAAAGCCTTGATTTTGCTCATGAAAAAAATAATACTCTTGAGGTATTGTTTTGTCTGCTTGATTATTGCTCAATCACTATATTAAATCTAGTGTTGCCTTCTTTCCATCATCAAATCTTTCACTTTAACAGGAGTTGTTTTAAAAATGAATTGGTTAATTTTCAATATATATAGAACAAATGAGATTTAGGACTTAACTATAAGAACAAATATATTTTCATTATACTTTCTGATTGTTTTAGGTGTTGCAATGCATAAGATGCTGAAATAGCAAAAGTTGTCCTCTTTGTACATATTCACCTGCTCAGTTACTTTTTTTTTTTTTAAACTTCATAACTCTAGAGGCTAGTGAACTGATCAGTGAAAGAGTGAAGGTACACGCATCACACTGACAACAACAAAGAATGCAGAAGCACTGTTAGCTGCAGAGATGACAGGTTGCTGGAGACAAGATGGAAAGCAAAAAGCTGTAGCTGCAAGCCTGCTCTCTACTGGTCAGACAGAGATGGGGCAGTGCTGCTCCCAGAGCAATACACGGATGCAAGCACTTGGCAAGAGTCATGGCAATGTTAGCACGTTATATTGCAGTCGTCTTAGGAGGGGAGAGAAAGTGACCCCAAGTCTCAAAACCCTCAAATTCTGACTTTTAGTTTTGAGTCTTAAGTACTGAAAACCCACAAACTGAACAAAACATTTCAGGGGGAATTAAAAAAAAAAAAAAGAAAGAAAGAAAGAAAGAAAGAAAAGGATGTTAGTATGTCTCATCCAGATCTGTGGGTTTTGTGAATTCTAGAATATGGTATTGGCCTATTACCTGCCATAATTTAATATCTAGAGGTAAAGAGGATGATAAAAAGTGTTTGCCATGAACCCACTGGCATTTCTGTTAAATCAGGCCAAAATAAAACAATCATTAAATATCATGAGTGTAAACACACACTCACCCTGATCAGGCGTATGAAAAATAAATGTTAATTACACGGCATTCT